AAATAGAAGCGAGGTGAAACATAGCGGAGAGAAAGGAGGGAGAGAAATTGAAGAGAGGACCATCGTCCAGGCGATGCTGATAAACAACACGTCCATGGTATAAAGAGAACCTGATCCGGACAGCGGTCGTTCATTGTGCTGGCGCGGGCTGCACGATGTATTTGGACAGTCAGTTGTTAACGGCAATGAAATCCGCCATTGTGGCACCATTCGCCGGGTACAATTGCCCATTATGGTAGTGACTACCTTCCGTGCTTCGTGTACCATAATTACATTACGCGAGTTGCGCCACTGGCCCTTGTGTGTTAACCTATTGTTGCCACGAATGCGTTCATGGGTGTGCCGCCGGTTTCGATCCCGTGTCTTCGCCGGCTCAATCAATAGATGGCTGCGGACATACCGATGTGTCTCTTTCCGCGGCATGCTGACAGTTCGAGAGCTCGATTTTATTTTAGCCTAGGTTTAGAAGTCGAAGAAGATTTCCTCGGATTGGTTTTTGTTTAACGGGTGTAATACATTCATGCTTGAACAACTTCTACCGCAAGATAACAAAATTCCTTCAACTCAAGAGTTTTTTCGTTGATTCGGGCAAAAGATTCCAACGGTTGTTGGAATCTCCTTGAATTTTTAACTTTTTATATGTAAATGTAGCTTAGCGTCAGCAAAACACGCGCCGAGGATTAAATCTGCCAAAGTTGGACGAGCAATTTGCGGCGAACTGACATAAACTCGTAGGGCACAGTAGTACGTTCACTGCATTTTTTTTTTTAAAAAGCAAAAAATATGTCGCTGGCCTTTTCACTGCCTGGTTTTGTTGAATCAAGACGTAAAACGTTTACAACTGTTCAAAAGAAACTGGTTTCGCTTATAGTCGAATCAACATAGATCCGTGCCCTTTGAAAATTCCTATGGATGTTTCACCAGTGGAATTTACTACCACTGAAATTAATTCCTAATACAACGAGCCTAAAGTAATCGTTGTTAAAAGCTCGTCGTTAATAATGAACTTGGCATCAGCTGGCTGAACAGAAAAGCTAATCAAAGAAAATTAAACAAACAAGACGGGAACGTTCTGCGCGAAAGGGTTAATGCTCTTTGTTCCGACCGATTCTCCGGGGATGAGAATCAGGAGTGGGGGAGGGGAGGAGGGAGGAATCAACACTTTCACTTTGTATCGTGGCCAGAATGGGGAAAGAGAGGAAGATTGAAAAGGATGGCCAGGATGAAAAAGTTGAATAGTGTACGCCTATGTAGTTGCTGGTGCCAGTTTGTCTGGCCGAGACAGCCTCCCACTCCCCTCGAAAACACTTTTCGCCCAAAGCAAAGGAAACGTAACGAAGGCCATCTTAAAAATTCCTGGCACCCCGTCGAGAACGACTCCACCCCCAACACGTCCCAGAGATCCCCTTTATTCCCGCCATTTCCCACCACTCCGACACCTCGACCGCAACTATCAATGAACACTAGGCTTTTATTTTTTTTTT